GCTTATTTTCCGGGCGAATTTTACAGCAGTTCTACAAAAATTGGCCAAAAACAGCACTTTCGCCGACCGAAAAAAATCAATGTTAGCATAACATCACTGGAATATATCATAAACTTTTCTCAAAATATTCTCTGCGTAAATGAACATTGTTTCCTAAATATAAAAGGAAATACTCCATGCATGCATTTTATGTGAGGTTTATAACAGCTTGTTCGTTTTTGGATATATATTGCTGGTCAGCTACCCATCATTGCAAGTGCATGGGCGCCCTTCGGTTGATGATCGTAGCCTCATACCGGAAACTGCCGCTTATAAGCCCTACGTTTATGCAACTTCGTAAGGGTTTTTAGATGGGCTCTTAAACGGAGAGGCTTATATCAGGGGGGGCTTATAAGTGGAATAAAAGAAACGTTTCGCAGTGGAGCTTGAGTTTTTCATATACTGGTTTTTAATTAAACTTTAAAACATCATGATAAATCTAACTCATTTCATGTTAAACTAGATGAGTGACCTACGTCTTTAGGCTTTTCGTTTTTTTATTTTTTATTTTTTGCCTTACAAGTAGATGGGCCTATAACCGGAATTGGATAAGAGTGGGAGGGCTTTTTAGTGATAGTTTACGGTATCCATTTGACAACCAACACTTGTAGCCGGACGGAGCAAGACTCGTGTGGTTTAATAGTTTTCATTACACGATGCCAATCGATTTCTCCAATGGCGCAGGTAATCCAAAGCATTGATCCACCTACAAAAAAGAACATCAATCATAATTGTTTGGCGACAAATTTGAATCAGGATAATGATAATGACTTTCGTAAATGGTTTCAACCCAGGAGTTCAGTTTCAACGAACCAGATTTACAACAACATCGACTGACAAACACTTCTCACCCGGCTCTAAAGATGACTTCCGCCTAGGCTGTCGAGACGTCAGCCCCAACAACAGTTCTTTACAAACTACCCTCACCTGGACGATAACACTGTACCGACGAAATAATAATTTTATTTCTGCGTTAAATAAAACTAGAAAGCCCCAGATCCGAGTGGTTTATTCTTGATGTTGAAGCAACACAAATGAAACCCGGTTGATGTTTCGTGGTTTTTTCTTTGTTTTTTTTTTTGCAGGTATAATTGATACTGATTTAACAGAGTTCCTTGCTGTTCTCATATATAAAATATACCTAGTTCCTAAACTAAAACAAGTAAAATCAAACGTAAACAAAACTTTATCGCACCTGAGTTTTTCTTGTTCGTCGTGCGCCATTAACTCGTACGTCCGTGTGGGTGTCACGACATTGAAGCAAGCGTTGTTGATGTCTTGCTGTGAAGAGGGCTGGTCTTGGACGGCGATAATCACATCAAGATCGATGAATCTANCTGCACTTTCACTGTTAAAATTTGCAAAGACAAATAAGATCGTACAAGAAAACGACCTTCATGCTGACCTGCATGTTATAGTGTGCGTATGTTTCTGAGGTGGATTACTTAATAACAATAACCTCTGGCTCATGATCTCGATTTCGCTAACCATGAGCAATAACAGATCAGATATCTACCGATACCCACCCTCTTGGCAAGGTGTTGTTGTTTTTCTGATAGTAGTAGAGCCTGCCATCACGGTCCGTTGAAAACCAGCGGCGTCTCCATTTTCTTCCTGTGATTCCTTTCACGCCTCTCTTGCATAACCAGCCTCTGACTTGACACGACTGATTGCGAAAAGGCAAAACAGTCAAAAAAGTAAACAAAAACAACAGCGCCGTGACCACGACTGGACAAACATTAATTATTGACAATGTACGACCAAAGAACATCCGTTTAAACTTACACCTCCACTCTATTTTGTGAACTATAAAATTCTCAATTGCTAGTTTTTTTTCGACCGGGAGCGAGCAGAAGCGGGCACACTCAAGCTGATCTCCATCTCTTTCAGATAAACAGCCAAACGGAAACTTTCGTAGCACTTGATTGAAAGTATTATAATATCACTCCTACAGTTTGTCTAACAAGCTTGATTTGATTCAATCACATTATTTTGTATGAAAACAATTACGACGTTTGCAATCAATGGTCAAAATCCACACTAATGAGGAAAATCCAAAATAATGTACTCCATCTATGCACGGTCATCTTCTTTTGGATTAGAAATTCAAATATTTCACAAAAAACCGCGCCAGGAACAAGAGAGACTCACTTAATGTTGGACTTGAAGTAAAGGAAATTCATTACAAAGAGAAACATAAAAAAGATGTAAACTTTACGTTCTTACTTCATAATCTGATGAAACTTTTTCCTTTTCTGTTGACTTTTCCAACTTGGATTCCGCTTCTCCGAGCTAAACGAAAGGAATCCATAAACATAAACTTGTGCAGACTCACAAAATACTAAACAAAAATAAAGAATCCTCGGCACAAGCAGTGCATTAATTTAATTACAATCATGGGATACTAGTAGCTCCGCTTTTCGTGTTTGACTACCCGTGCAGACAAAATAGAGCCCGCTTGCCCGCTATTGGAATCACTCTTTTGCGTGGTTATGAGCCTGGGCATTAAAAAACGCCAAAACAACAAGGCTAACATCTAGCCAGCTGGACCTCACGCCTGGTCAATAACCTGTTTATATTTCTGCATCATAGGGTCAATACGTCACCTTCAGTCCGACCCAGGCAGTTTGACTTCAAAAGAATGGTGTGAGTCAACAGCCAGAGAGGGTTTACGAGTGAAGGACATAGTCCTGCTCAGCTTTCACTAGCCTTGTACTAACTCTGCCGTGTAAACAAGGTGCAAACTTCCCATGCCCTATGGCCCAACGTGTTTTGTCACACGTATCTTTTCATTACTTACCTGCGTCCTTAAGTCTTCCACTAACAACTGCAACTCTGTTATTTCTGCTTGTAACTCCTCTCTCTCCTTGACAAAGTCGGTCTTCTTGTATTTGGCCAGTAATTTCAACTGTTCCAATTCAGAGTTGATGTCTGCCTTCTCATTTTCCAAGTCAGTGACCTTTGTGACAAGTTTCTGGTAAGCAGCTCTCAGATTCATGTTGTCTTTCTCGAGTTGTCTGCAAACAAGACATTGATAATAGCACGAGAATTTTTAAGAGCAATTTATATGATTTATATAAATTTGCTATCAACAGCAGCTTTGACAATGTTATGACCATAGGGCTGTGGCCGGAAAGCGCGGTTTTCACTAGCAGTGCAAGCGCGAGGACAAGACATTTTCTATGTGTGATGTGCAAACAAACGCCGATGAAAGCACAAAGGCGGAGACAAGAGCGTCACTACTTCCAAGTCCCTTTGTACTATAGAGTGTAACATAAAAGATCCCCTTGTGCTTATATTATACTGTCTGCCGTCTTCACACAGCACAAAGGGAGTTCAAGCTAGTCTCGTACCCATATCTCACTCTCTTTAGCGTGCAAGCAAAAGCACAAGCTGAGGAAAGGGAAAATGTTGATTTTTCTGCTGCGTTTGAGCTTGATCATTGCTGTTGCTTGCGCTTCTCGCGCTTGCGTTACTTGGGAAAACCAGGTCAGTCCTTGTAAACACTGTCTTACGAAAGTTTTCATGATCACGTGACAACTTCTTTGTAAAGATCGCGGCAGCTTTGTGCCAAAACAGCCAGTCAAGTAACTATACATCGAGCAATTTGATTGACTGAAAATCTGGAAATGACATGTTTCAACCAATACATACTCTACTCTCATTTGATTAAGACCATCGTCGTTAAGATTTCCCTGTAGCCATTCCGAAACTCTGTTTTCTTTACTTTCGGTGGGAACGCCCTAAAAAAAACACATAAAAATCACTTTGGTGTACTTTCGGAGTCTACAGGTAACAGTGGCCCTCCAATAGCACTTACATCAGTAACGATAAGAAGCACAACACCACTTAAGGACGTTCGCGCGAAAATTTTCCAGTCGATAGATTTTTTTAAAATTTTTTACTGCAGTCAGATAATGAGTTACTTGTGTCAGAAATGCAAAAAAAAAAGAAAAAATGGGGGTCAACGACTTCGTTTCAGAGATAAAGCGTGTGGAAAACTAACCTGATTTTCAAAAATTGGCGCACGTAATTCAGCATGGTCTACAGGGATTTTTAATTGAAAATATCGAAGGTGAGTCAACGGAGGCAAACGATCTCAGTCATATTTTGTAGAAGTGGGTCTGTTGCGTAAATAATTCCAAATGTTACCAACTTTTTTCACAAAATTTAACCGTTTAAGAGGCATTTTAAACCGTCGCACAGATAAACGAAGAGCTAAAAAGAACGGAATTCGATGGTGCATTTTACAAAAATTTCTAAAAAAATTTCAAAAAACTTCTAATCGACAGATTTTCTTCATTTTTTCGTTAAATGTAGAAAATCGGTAGAGAAAATGATCCATCAAAAGAAAAATAGGGGTCACCGAACGTCCAAGACCGTTAAATCCAGGCAAAGCTATAGCAATGCCCATCTGCCCTATCATTGTTCATTTAATTTCTTAGCGCGCGCTCTCATGCATGACCTGGCTTGTGAATTTGCGTGCGCAGTAACGATGCGCAGAAACAATTAGCGCGAACGCATATTTACGGAGTTGTAATTAACTTACCTCGATATTACCTTGAGTGTCTTCAGATGATGAGTCCGATGGTTTGCGCTGGATAAAGAACAAAAATAGGTTTTGCTACTTGATCGAACAAACAGCATTAAAAAATTAATCAAGGAACTTCAATTAGACACGAGTGCTTTTCTTGCGCAAACTAACAGCGTGATACAATCATTCTGACTAAGAACTATAATATTTTTGATGGGCGAACTCTCGACTAACATTTGCGATTTGACCCTACCAAATTCCACATTGATGACGTGGGAGTACAGAGACCGACTGGTGTTTCCGATTGTTTGTATTTTCGCGCCAAAAATTCAAATACATCATGGGCAGAGACACGACACAGATTTCTGGAGAGCTTACGTCATCAGTATGGAACTTTTCGGGTCCAGTTCTCGAGCAGGGGAGGAATCCAGTGAGTAAGGAAAGACATATGTTTACTTCGGCTTAACTAAAGATAGTCCGTCAAAACCCCCAGGAAGAGAGAAATTCAGTCAGCCGAATTTAATCCCACCGACACTTTTTCACCTTACCTTGTTTTTTCCGGATAACGAGAAATGAAATTTGTTTTTAATAGAACTCAATGAAGACAAAGGCGAAGTAGAGAAGTTAGCAGACAGATCTTCATCCTCCTCTTCCTCTTCTTCGCATTCCGTTAAATCTCCTAAGTTGGCGCTGACAACTTTTCTTCTTTCTCTGTTTCTTTCCAAAAGTTTGCTGCTCTTGCTTTCTGATTGTTCAGCTTCTGTTTGTTGCTGTGTGAGTGCTACGTCTCTACCAAGACTGTGATTTGCGTTGACTAGAATTGAAGGAGATTTAACCACCTAAGCCCCGATTTTACCATTTAAGTTCTCCTTTTGCATTAAATCACTAAGAATGACTGCCCAGTCTTATTAGCCCATTAAGGTTATTTTGGGCAGCCACGTACTCTTTTTATTTTAACTTATTTTTGTTCATTTAATTTCTAGCTGAGTACAAATAAAGTTGTTGCTGTTGTTGCCTTACTAATCTTCATATACTTCTTAGTGTGCTAGTAAAGAGTATCTGATCAGGGAACACAAGTTCCCGCTTCACTCTCCAACCTGACTTTTACTTAAGTTCAAGGGGAGATTGCTTACAGTCATTTCACTCGATGACTTTCAGTGCTAATTAAAAAAAGCATCGAGTTCTACAGTTGCATCTCATCGCTCTTGACTAGTTAATGGCTCTTTCTTCCGAAAGCTAAACAAGCCGGGAGCTATGATAGGCAGCAGCATTCGCAGACTATTAGCTTACCATTTTTCCATCAATATGAAGAACAAAGAGATTCTCGTGATTCTCAAGAATGACTGGGAAAGCCTTCCAAGATTTCGTGGAAGTGTGAAAAAAATATGAGAACAGAAGATAGAGTAATTTGGGGGATAAACCACTCTAAAATTCTTTTTACGTCCAGTGCGGCTTTAGAATACACAATCCAAACAAAACAAGAGAAATGTGTACTTGACAAGCACCCTTTGTCACAGTCTTTCTGTCTATCTCTCTCGCCGAGGTTGTCACAATCATCTCGAATCAACAAGGGCGAATGGAATAATTGCTTTAAAAAATTCTCCAGTCGACTAGATGATGTGGACAATTCAGTGTGATCTACACGGAGTGATGGTATAAAAAGGCGGGAAAACTGTGGCGCTGCGCGTGTTCACTTTTTGAGTTGAGTGAAGTATTTGTGCAAGGCGAGGGATTCGAAAATAGTAAAAACAGAGTTTCCTTCCGCAATGTTTCTCGCACAATCTCCTGTAAAGTTATCTATAGAGTAATACTCTGGAAAATTGCGATAAACGAGAAAAATGTGCCGGAAGAAACTTATACGCGTTATGCAAGTCAAATTAAGCAAGGGTTTCCTTCTTTACGTGGCTGTCATTATCAAACTCGATCACGCTCATTGAAGTATAAAAGGACAAGCCCTGGCAAATGTAAGGTAACAAACTTTACTGGCCCAATTTACGAACAGTTTTTCTTTTTTTTCTACTTTACTTCTTCATTCAGATGCTTTCAGTGTTGTACATTTACATTTGATATTTTGTATCAAACTGATGTATCAAACCCTACATACAGTTGAGTTAATGGTTTACAATCTGTGGCTTTTTTCCGTTNGGCACTTCCATAAATGATTGAGAAGAAAATAAAAGAAAATGGTGAACATTTTTGTGTTTTAGTTTGCTACTTTTTCAACGTAAAATGAAACCGGTCTAGCTAGATGCCGGTCTAGATGGGAAAATCTAGACCGCGGTCAATATCAATTTCAGCCAATCAAATTCGTGAATTCGGTAGTTCCCAGTCTTTGTGAGACACAGCCATATAATAATTTATAAGATTAAACAACAGAAATTAAGTGCTTCACTTTCTAACCTTGATTGCCCTCGCTCGGTATAACATCCGCAACAGGATTTTCGATCATGGCTACATTTTTGTATTCCAATGTTTTCATCTCATCTAGAAACTGAGACCAAGTGCTGCAAACAGAGGCGGAATCAAGAATCTTGTAAAACACTTATCCCTTCCTCATCCAAACAATTTACCTTGCTAAGATGCAGGGGGCGGGGATTTTGCGCGTGACGCTTGATTTGGTCAACAAAAAGTTGTACCTGAAACTTTATAGGAAATGGCTGGAGAGGGATTGCATCACGTGTGAGAAGCCATTTAGATAAATACCAGATATCAGAAAATAGATGAATACTGTAAGACCCGTGTTAGTGAGATGTGAAACTGTGGTTGTTTTGCGTAATGTGTGATTTGAGTGCGCTGGGCATAATAGTATCAGCTAAATACTAGAATTGTATCGCACTAAAATGTACTCCTGTTAGCTTAAATTAAAATACCACTTTCGTTAACCAGAACAGCGCTGTGGCTAGCGATAGCTCAAGCTAGCTCAAGGTAGCGCTGACTAGTGAATGGTTCGCAATTCCTGCATTTAGCTGTATGTAGCATAATGAAGACTGCAGAAGAGACTGCCCCTCCCACATTAGACAGGCCAGTCAAAAGAGACAATGCAGCTCAAGGCCTTGACTTTTCTGCTGGGCACATCAGCATTGTCCTTTGGCACAGAGCTTTGCCAGCAATGACCTGTGATTTCCGAAACATCTTATGTGACTTACTGTTTGGAACGGTCAGCAAATTTATCTGATTCGTTCGGTGTACTCTGGTCTTCTTCTTCCTCGTCATCACTGCACTCTGCCAGTTCAGACAGCCTCGATTTGAATTCTGCCTCACTTAGATGACTAAAGTTGCTTTGCATGTCATCCTCACTTAAAAAAAATTATAAAAATTTAATCAAAAATAAAAAACCAACTGCATTGCACTTAACATAACAGAAACAAAAATTGTTCTTGAACCGTATTTTCAGCCCTTGTTCTCAACTTTCCAGTCATCAAACTAATAATGTAAGGAAGGTTCTAAAGATGTACACTTCCAGCTGGAGGCATATTGTTCAAGAACAAATTCTCTTGGATTAAAACCTGACATTCCAGATATTTCATATAAGGGAGCTATGTCACAACTTTAACGTCTGTTTTAGTTTCATGATGTTAGGTACTTTCACATTGATGAAAACATCATAATAGCACCATATATAAGAAACCAAAGTATAAATAAAAATGGTCTAATAGTACTGAGGAGAATTTATATAGATCCCAAGCAAAAAAAAGAACTGAAAAAAATTGACCATTTTTTCTAAGGAGCATAAAAATTACAGCTGCAATTAACTGAAACATGCAAATCTAAAATAGATAACAGTATGATGAAGTCAACATAAATTTCCTTTACTCAGTTACTTAACTTCACTCAGTTCTCTGACAGAGATAACTTAAGTCAGTCTTACAAGTACAAACTTTGATTCTGAATTGATAATAAATACCTCTTACTAACCAAGTTCGAGGGCCGTACTGTAAGTTACGGACCGAGTTTTTTGCCCATCAATTTATGGCCCAAGCGCAAAGCGCGCGGGCCATAAATTGAAAGGAAAGAAAAAAACAAGGATCCGTAACTTACAGTATGGACTGAGAAAACAAGGTTAATAAGATTATTATATCTCTACTGTGCATCTGACGGGTTCAGGAACGATTTCTATTCATACAGAAC